TATTTTTCTGAAAATATTAACGTTTCAAAATTTTGTTTTCATTAATTTCCTGATTTATAATTTTTTTTAGCTTCGAGAAAAATTGCGAATTATTTAACACCGTCGTAGTGTTATCAAACAAGTGACCTGCCACACCGCACGCGTACTCGTACGGCCGGCCAAACATTTTCAATGTGGTCAGTTATAATCATATTTTATTTCTTCATAACTATAAAAATCAGGAAATTAATGAAAATAAAATTGTCAGAAAAATTAACTCTACAAAACGGTTATCTTTAATTTTTTTGGAAATAATTAAATAAAAAAATGAAATTTTTAAAATTTTTTACCGAAACACTAAAATAAATTAAAAAATGTAATATCTGTAGTTCTTATTAAAAACCAGAATTTTGAAATCTCCATTATTTCGTGAGATATCACAGTGGGTAAATCCTCTCGGGACACCTGTATAGTATATACCATATTGTGAATTAATTGAAGGAATGATATTAAAAATAAAATAAAATAAAAATCTATATTAAAGTATGATGTATTGATGCTAATTGCTTATTTTGGCATATTTTTTAAATTTCTACTAGAATATAATGAGAATATTAAAATGGTTTTTTTTTTATAATATTGGCATAATATTTTATGTAGGTACTTTTAGGAGACTATGAACATGGTAGGTATTTACTTATAATATACGATAGTGATTGTTTTGAATTTAATTAAATACACATTTATATTGGAATTAATTGAGTTCTAAAAATATTTATTCTGTTTATTGTAGCTAGTTGATTAATATTATGATATTCCTTTCATTAAATTTTAGTCAACAAATAATTGATAAATAATTAGGTAGTTTCAAATACATATTTTTAGACGTTATTGTGTATACATTATCAACGCTATTGATTAATAATTTAATTTGTATGATATTTGATTGATTGTTTTTATATAGAACAATTTACCATTCAGTCATTATTTGTCTAGATATTTAAAATTGAATTATTGAAATCAAAATTAAACAACAATAATAAACTCATTTAGGAAAAATAGATTGTATACAATTTAACTGTTTTTTTATAATAATTTTACGTCCAAAATATTTTTTGTTTGAAATGTAATGTTGATAATAATATTTTTCATAATAGGTTAGGATATTTTACATAATATTTATCGATATTAAAACATCAAATCATAAAACAAACAATACTTAAAGTGTTTTGAAAAATATTTAGAATATTATGCATGTGATTAAATACCTAATTAGAGATATTGATGTAAAATAAAAATAAATATGCTTTTATTTATTCCCCATCGAGTGTCAATCAACTTTTCTGGGTCAACTACTGTCATAGCGATCAAATTCAATTTTTAAAACTGCATTTAACTGGCTTCTTCATTTCTTACAAATTTACTTTGACACTCATACGCTATATCGCACGTTTTATACATATACAGAGTGATTTATTGAGCGTGATCGCCGTCACGTCCTTTAATAGTAAATKTATTCAAATTCTGATTTTTGGAATTTTAAAGTGCACAGCTGAAAACCATATTTTGGAATTTCTGATATTTTTGTATAACACTTTGGAGTGTAATGTGGTGATACAAACTACTATTTCTTAAATGAGACCCCTCCCTTTTTACTGTAAGTTATTTAGCGGACGATTTTCTTARAAACTTTGATTTATCTAAATTAAAATCCTATAATGAGTAATTTCTGAGTTATTCAAATCCAATGTGTTCACGATAAGAGTCACCGCTTAGTAGTTTAACTGAATGACCTTATATGAGTGGTTTACAATATTTTTGAGACTATTACCCATAAATCGGGTTGAATATTAGCGAATACCCTCCCTAAAAAGCTAGGAACCGCACGTGTGCCAAGCCTAACTTACGTACATGCTTTATCGGGTTATCGGTTATCATAACCTAAATACGCCGATTCATAGAACCGTTATGATGTATTATATAAAAATGATCAAAATAGGGCACTTTATGACTTAAAATAATATAGCTTGTAAAAAATTTAAAGTTTTCCTTGCTGAGTTAGGTCAATTTTATTTTTCACCTTAAATCTTATATTTTTTTCTAAACTTAACCAGTCACTTAAATTTTTCTCGGTTAACTTTTAAATTTAAACTGAATGAAATTTAATTGAATTACCTAACTTAACTTGTCACAGTTAATTATTTTAATTTTTTCGTCTGTGGTACTTTTGTATATATTTCGTATTTAAATTGAGTACCTACGACTCACCAGTGTTGGAGGTCGATGGCCTGTCGAATAAACCAGTATTGGTGGTGTGGAAAGTAGTGGATAGAGGTGAATGAATAGTTTTTTTCTTGTTTCTTATTTTTGATCCTAAAGGGTCATGCATGGAAAATGTCTACGGAGAAGGTCTTAGAAGGTCGGTGGTTTGACGGGGTTATAAAAGCCACGAATAACGTTTAATATACGATATTTATATATATATATATTATATACTGTGTGTTCACCAATTTAGGGAACACGGAATTTTTAGGATGGATTATGTTGGAAAAAATCGAGTTTACAATCTGGTGGTATACTCATTTTCAGATGAATGCCAAATTTGTAACCCTCTCGGTACGCGCACGCGCAATGCAACTTATTATTTATTTTAATAGCAACCGGTATTTTCGGTATCAAATTTGAATAGACTGAATTTTTTTAAGTCATTTTTAACAATGGCTCTAAAACCAAAATTGACCGAACGAGAGACATTACAATTTTAATAAATAATACGTTTTTACAATTTCTTAATAAAATGCATAAAATCATTTAAAATTATTTATTATTGGTTACTTTTTGAATATTTTTCTGTATACTGTTGTAATCAATTTTAGTTAAATAATTTTATATCCATATTATGTTARTATTAGTTTTAAAGTCTTTAAAAAACTATTATTTAAAAAAAAATAAATTAAAATTTATTCAACTGAAATCAATACTAATTATCTGCTTTAAATTTAAAGATATATTTTACGTTAAAATTAAAACAAATTCTTCTCAAAAATAACTTTAAATACTAACCTAGTTTCTGTAATGTTATTACAGAGCAGTTTAAGGTAAAAATTTACGACCTTTAAAATAAATAATGATTTCTGATGATGGATAGAAAACATGAATGAGAATAGAATTCATTTCACAAACTATAAATTATATGTAATTTGAATGTTACCAAGATTTAATGGAGCTGAGTTTTTACAGAGAAATTTAGAGAAATTCGGGCAACCAATCGAAAGATTTAACACACAAAAAAAAATTACGATAAACCATGCTAGGATTAGTTTTATTGTTAAATATTTTGACGATATCGAAAATGAATAATCATCTAAACAAATATGGTACGTTTTTAAATAAATAATTTTATCAGAAAAATATTATTTATATCGATAAGGTAAATAAACACTAAATAAATTTATAATATTCTGTTTGAATAGCTTATGCAGTAAAAAAAAAGTACCTCTTTCATAATCAGCAGGAATGTTATCAAACAACAATCCTTAATAAAACATAATGGTATAGCAATAATAATGATTGTATTGTTTCAAAATGTCTATCTGTTTGTCATTGAACACAATGATTGGAGTTAACGGTATTAATGAGCTACTGCTCACAATTAAATTATAATTTATTATCATAAATGTTTCCTCGTAAGGAAACTACWGTTCATATTTTAAATTATATTAAAATTTCAAAAAAGAAACGGTTAGTGCCTACATAAWAACCTACACAATTGTATTAAGTCACGAGGATATAAGGTTATAGGTACACTTATAACCTTTAAATATCACAGGCAACATTAAATATCAAAATAAAAATGAAATAATGAAATTAAAATGTAGAATTTAAGAACCATATTATTTCTGTTGTAAACAATATAAGTTTATAGCTATACAAATATATAATATTATGCGTCCATATAAGATTTCTTTATCAAAATTCTTATCTGAAATATAAGTATATGTACAAGACRATTCACCAAACGTGCTCAACCCCCATTTTCACAGTAAAATATTTACTGGATAATTTTKGTTTGAAACGTTTTTATACCTTATTCGAAATTAAAATGAATAGCTTCTTAGTTACTTAAATGTTTTGCTTAGTTAGAATAATATTCCTTAAAGTTATTTTTTTAAATTATAAGTTATATGTAGATAATACATACTATATTATGTATTATTTTTCATGTTTGGATCATTTTTTAAAATTATTTATATTGATAGATCAATAGAAATTACTTACTTTTTCAAAACATCTAATCTCTTATATCTAATCAACTCAATACCAAATACATATTATCCTTAGTAGACTAAGTAATATAACTCAGAAATTACTCACTTGAATTTTKGTTTAGATAGATAAAAATTCTCAAAMAAATTACCTGCTGAATCATTAAAAATAAAAACGAAAGGGCTCCTTTTTGAAAAACAGAAGTTTGTTTTGTTACATGATGTCATGATCATCCTTAAGTAAATCTCAAGAATTCAAATATATAGTCTTCCGAGTGTATTATTGAAGAAAAAAAGTGGGTGAGCATATCATGTTTGRTGAATCACCCTGTATACCATCATCTTGTGGAAAAATCCAGATGCTATTATGCTAATGATCAATCCCACCGTATGGTTGGGTAAATGGTTATATGATGTATATTGTATACCACCTATGTTTTGAGATCGGACAATTTTACAGTGTATTAATAGCTAGCGTCGTCCTGATGTTATGGGTTGCASCCCACACCCAATTGTCCGATAAATCCCATTATTTGTGTCTTTAATGGTATTAATACTATTATTCATTAAAATGTATTTTTAGTTACAACATGCCCAATTACCCCCCCCCCCTCTCCCCTATCACTTTTGACATTTCCTGAGAATGAACGCCGCTGTTAATATACCTAGTTATTTGATAAATTTATATTTTCCATTTACTTCATAGTTAAATACAATAACATGACATATTATTTTGTATCATAAATCATCGATTACCTCCAAAGCGGCTATCGATATGGCGATATTGGTCGTCCATCGGGATTTGTCCTCCAAGAACCAGGTAACTTCTTCGGCACAACCATAGAAGAATGCGTTACCGGTTACCGTGTCCCTGCACTCGGTGGGCAATGCTTTTCTCAGCGACAAGTAGTCGTTGGGTCCATCCGCTCCACAACATCCGATCTGAAACCATATAACGAGTGGGCTGAAAAACGATTGAGCATAAAATTCATTTTTTGCGACACGATTCAGCAAAATTCTCGGCGTATCAAAGGAAATTAAAATACAAAAGAAAACCTACACGATTGAGCATAAAAAACTCTGCAACGTTGCCATTTTCAATTAAAAACAAATAATAATAATAATAATTTAAATTTAAAAATATTTATTCAAATAATTATAATAATTTAAAATATAATATTATGTCAAAAAAATAACATAAATAACAACTAAAACTTTGAATATGGTCTGAAAATATGTTTTTAAATACTACATATCACTTCCTGTAAACTGCATTTTAATATAAGGTCACCCAATTGAGATATTCAGTCGTATCTAATATCATGATCACACTGTATATAAATCTGAACCTCACAACAATAGAAATCAATATACCCATATTATTCAATTGAACGTATATTTAGGATAATATAATATTTGTACAATAACGGATGATGCTAATTATTCAATAATATTATAAGTATATAAATTAGTCGTGCAAAATAATTCATTGCATTTACTAAATASTTATCAATTAACAATAATAAATTACACTTGAGAGTCAATAATAATAATATAATTAATACGATGAACATAAAGAATATTATAATATTTTAAAATAATAGTACTTATGTGATTTATATTTATATAATGTATTCAATATAGATATAATTCATTATGTTTTGAACTTTTTTTTTCCATTAGTTTTATATTTTATATGATTTTAAATTAAACTAAGTAGTATTAGGTAGAGATTATTTGATTAGGTATAAATAATTTAAAACATTATTTACTTTTAATAAATAAGTTATAAAATTAATAATAAAAAATATGTGAATGTATTTGTGTTTACTACAATATTGTAAATGCAACTGCATTATTTGCTTGGAATAATATTTGAATACGAAATGCTTTTACTTTTTCGCATCGAATATATTTACAATAAATTTGAATTGAAGTTTTTTTTTTTTTTTCACAAGAAAAACCTTAGTTATTTTGAATAAACGAAAACACATTAAATCATGTCAAGATGTACAACATTTCTGATGGATTAATTTACATTTAAATAAATTTTGAATAAAGTCCTATATTGCTTTAAATTATTTAACTTTATCGTAACCAAATAAATTGAAAATATGATGAAAAAAATTTGAGATCTCTGGGGAAACAGCCACTCAACTTCTTTGTACAGTTATTTTCGTACGAGTACAAGAATATATCGTCAAATACATGCAGTGACTAAGAGCACAAGAGCAAGCATCGAAAGTCTTAAAGATAGGATACTTCAGAAACGAGACRGAAAAAAATCTTATGAAATATTCAGTTTTGCTATATAATATTTTCGTACTTCCAGTTTGTTTGATTATAAGCRGTTGATTGTACCGAATGACAAAGAATAATTTATTGCTGCTGTTCTCTATTAAAATTCTTCACAATGAAAATAAGTATTTGATATGTTGTGTTTTGTATGTAACTCAGTACCTACCTAGATATATAGCGCTGCACGCGAAACATTTCCGTCGATATAATAATTATTAATTATTGTTTGTCTTCACTTCGTTTGTTCGGAAATCTTAAAGTCATAAACACGTAAAATRCACCTATCAATTAAGTTATGAGTTTGTCGTCAGAATAATTTATAATTATAAATAATAATAATARTTGTATTTTGTTGATAATGATATAATATGTCTATATTCTCCTCACAGTTTAGGCAACATAAAAATCCGTTGGTTGAATATTTCATAAACAATGCATCAATGAAAGAGTTCATTTTTATTGTCTACTTTGAATGTACCTACCTAAATTTTGCTCTTTACATGAATGTGTATGCTAGTTATAGGATTTAAATTGTAAAAAGCTTATAGTTGGTAAGAAAACGCCAAATATTAGAAGGTGTCTGTTAGGAGTAATTCCACTGCTATTGTRTTTTTTGATAATAATGTCTRTCTTCTTCTCAGAGCTTATGATACATAATAGTTCGTTAGAATGTTAGATGAATATTTTTAAAACATGATTAATAAAAGTATCTATTTTTGTTGTCTACTTTATCTGTCAGCTTTGTGCATAATATTTTGACTTAAGATTTCATAACAATTTATTCAACCATGATGTTTACTTAAATATTTCAAATGTATCAATTAAATCACGTATTATAAGAATAAATTATAAAAATAATTACGTTTTGTTGATACTACAAAAAAGTCAAAATTATATTTTAAAAAGAACGCTCAATTAACAACAAACGCTATATTCAACAAAATATGATTTATATTATATTGAACACAAAGTGCTACCAGCAAAACAAAATAAATAATTTATAAAAGTAACTGCTAGTTACATGGATGAATATAATTTACAACGGACTGTATTATCATACGATTCCCCAAAAAACAATTTCGAATACAAAAGTCTGAATGAAAAATTACTACTTTAGACATAATATCTATAAATTCGGCACTAAGTTTTGTAACATTATACCATCTTATAAATCTCAAGACGATTTAGTAATAGAATAACCTTTTTACAAACGTGAAATGCTAGTTTAAGAAATTTAGAAATGTTTTCACTGTTTATATTACTACATATTATGCTATATTATCATACATATATATGTACCTATAATGAAATTTAAAACTCCCCTGACAAGTCCTCTCAGTGGGGCACACATTTTATTTATTTTATTTCGAAAAAAAATAATAATAATAAACTATCTGGTTTTAAATTGCAATATCTGATTATTGTCGGCTACAGTGGCTAAGATTACAAGAAAAAACATTGAAAGTCTTAAAGATAGGATACTTCAGAAACGAGACGGAAAAAAATCTTTTTAAATGTTCAGTTTTGCTTTATAATATTTTCGACTTTTCGTACTTCTAGTTTGTACGATTATAAGCGATTGATTGTATCGAATAACAAAGRAGAACTCACTGATGCTGTTTTCTATTAAAATTGTTCATGATTAAAGCAAGTGTTTGATATGTTGAGTTTTGTATACAACTCAATAATATAACGCTGCAACGCAAAATATTAAGGTGGATATAATAATTATTGAGAAGTCACCATATCTGCGTGTGTTGTCTCCGTCTTACAAACATACAACATACCAAAAATGGTTTTGTTCGAGGACAACTTTCTTCCTCTGTTTTTATTGCAGAATTACGAAAATTCCACATCGTACAGGGAAAAACTTTATCCGTTTCGCGTTTTTATTATTTGGATAACATAAATACATTTTTTTTTTTCATTATAAAATACATTTACAATCTATATACACAATAATACAATAGTGAATTAGTACTAGACGTGACAAGCGTGAAGCTAGGGAGTTTCTCGTGACATTACTTCCAATTTATGAACATAAGGAAGATGTAAATTGTTATAAATATATTAAGTATGTACTAAGTATTATTTAATAAATCACGTGGCCATTTGCATTTGAGACGAAGGAGGGGGTTGTCAGATATTGTGCAAGAAGAGAATTT